AGAGAGAGAGAGAGAGAGAGAGGCAGGCAGGCGTAGACCACGTTGAAGAAATATAAACACAGAGCAAATGAAAACCCCACTCAGCTTGAAATGGCAGCAGCAAGAACATTATTAAATGATCATCTCATGTATTAGAGAGAACGCACAAAGATGCTTACATGTCTTCTTTTTTCTGCGGCGCCCCCCCCCCCCCAAACCCCACACACACACACACACTTCATATAGATAATCAGAAAAAGAAGTTAAGTTAAAAAATGTACTCGGTACAAGGATACAAAAGTGTTTATCGGGGGGGGGGGGGGGGGAGAGGGGGGGGGGGGGGGGGGGCACACACCACTTCTGATACTTAGCTACCAAACCTGAATAAAATATTTTGTTTTGATTACCATGGGAACAGGAGGCGTTACTAGGCACCCAAGTGGCAAGTGTTCAATATTTTATTCTAGAAGTTGTGTAAGATTACACCATATCCAGAGTTTGTTCTTTCATCAGCCTTGGTTGTTTACTTCTCCATTTCTGCGATCAGTAAACAGGATTGATTCCTTATTTTATGCCCTCCCACATTTTCCTTTTCTGCCTAACCCTCGTTTTGTATATATTACATTTTTTTTTTAAAAATTGCTAGCATAGATTATTTAGATTAAAAAAATATTGCACAAACATACCTGCCAGTGCAGCCCGAGATTACTGTGTAGCCGTGCATTTTCACCGTTTGGATAGCGAGAGAGAAATGTATGGGTTGGAAGGCGGTCAGTGCACTGAGGTTTGAATATGATGACCAGTGCCACCCCGGTAACCTGGCGAATGACAAGGAAAGGAGACCGTCAGCATAATTAGCACGTTATATACTTTGTTTTATATTTTAAGATTTCTTCTGCTGTTCGTTTTCCTGTCTCTTTAAGGAACGCGTGTGCGTTCATCGTCTCCCGGTAGTTTTTCGTCTGCCCCTCTAAACCGACGTCGAGCAGACTTCGCATATCTTGAGGTGGCTATTCCTTCAAGGACCACACTGTTCGCTTGCTGTTCCATGAATTAATGAAGGCGTCTCTGGTTGCATCATGGCTGCCAATAGGATTTCTTTTTTAAACCCCAGCTAAGCTGAACAAAAGCCCAAGCAACACAGGCAAAGAACCTTCACACAAAAAAACCCAGATTGTTACAAAGCACAAATTTTATAGTTTAGAAACTGAACATTTACCAACTTTTATATAAGGATATATATTTTTTAAACCCAGATTTTAACATTTGAACCCAAGGCGTAAAATAAAAACCCAGATCTGGGGGTAATAACCCATTATGAGCAGCCCTGGGTTGCATGCTACAGTGTACAGTAGAGGTTACACTAGTGGAGGGCTCCAGTTCATGATTGGGACTCCCATGCCGCCTGTGCATGCACTGTCAAAGCTTTCTCGTCGTCCTGTGTAAACGTAGATCTGTACCCTATACATTTATGTTTATACCCACTCACACTGTAACCGTTTAGTGATGCCTCAACATCAGACTCATTATAGAGCAACATTTCAGATGGTTTGGTTATCCGAGAGCACACAGAACATAGAACGACGGCATCAAGGAGAGCCTTAGTGGAGATACAAGATATTACACATTGCATTAGAAAGAGATCAATGATCCTGACATATCTTGTTTTCTTCGACCTCAACACTTTGCTGAGATCACGCGGAAGAAAAAATTAATAACATGTGCCTAGTTATTCTAAGAAGAAATATGATATACCAATTCTGAGAAGAAATATGATATACCGAGTTATTCTGTCAGTGTATTTGATGTTTTATTTCGGTTCTTTTCTGTTAACTCACCACATCACGCCAAATTTATGGAAATCCCATAGTATAGGGGGTTAGGGCTAGTGTTGAATGAATAGCAACTACAACTAACCCCAAATCCAACCCCTCTATACTATGAGATTTCCCAAAATAAGGCGTGATGTGGTATCTTGACAGAAAAGAACCTTAATTTCTACCTATCTTTACATAACTGAAGGTATTTATAAACAATAATTGAAAGCGTCGTTTTTGTATTAATTTGTTGAAATGAATGTATCCACAATTATTCTTGTGTCGTGCCCTGCAAGGGGAGATAATGTGTGAACTGGCGAACGCACATTGCGTGAACACCAGGTGCCATTAAAAAAAAAAGCATAATTTACAGTTCCCAACCAATGAATCTAATTAACCTCCATAAACCTGTTTTGTGGGGGTGAACTTGTCTGGGTCAGTCTGTTGCTCATGGGTTCAGAAAGCTATCGCAGAAGGGAAGTGTTATGGCAGTGCAATTGATTTTCCCTGTGAAAACCACATTCATTTTCATTATGAAGAGTTATGAAGTCCAGAGCGCACTTGATCAAAGCTGTAAAAACTGTAATGAACACTCAGATCGGTTGTTGCCCCACATAACACGTTTTCAACGGCTTTGATGTATTTCCACTGTTTTTGGTCTGCAATTTTGGACAGCTTTGATCTGGTGTATTCAATAATTTGGCCTTGCTGTTTTCCTACACAAACAAGTAAAATTACAGATGGGTAATAAATATGTACAAATTAATTTGTGGTGGTCGGAGGGGAATCGTAGCAACGACTGGTTGAGCGTCTGTGCTCTAATCTCTCAACACTAGGCTGTGAGTGAACCGGAGTAGTTAGTCTACCCCCCCCCCCCCCCCCGTTATCAGATGCAAATATATCGAGATCTGTGGCTTAAAGTTTGTGAACGCAGTTTAACAGTCCCACTATACCCGGGTCTACTGCAGGCAGTGTGGCAACCACGTTATAGATGTTGTACATTTAGAAAACAGTGTAACAAACTACTGAACATAAATTTTCTCAGTACAATCACACAAGGAATACAGTAAACCTCACAACACGAATTACAGGGGACAGAAAGTCAAGTTCGTGTTTAAACAACATTCCTGCTAACCAGATCCTAATAATAGGAATAATTACGTCACTGATGGGACCAAAATTGTGTTAATGTTAGCCAAGTGTTCTTGTTAAGTGCGTTTGTGGTACAAAAAGTTTTACTGTACATGCCAAAGTTTGTTCACATAGTCTTAAAAAAAAAGACATGGCAGATGCTTTGGTGTAGCCGATCGGAAGGCCATGGGTTCAAGTCCTGGTGGAGAGGGCTTTTTCCAGATCGACCCATCCCTAAATGGGTTTATGTAAAGACCTGGGAAGTAAAGGTGGCTGGCGTTATGTTGACCACATCACCCACCGAGTACCAGTTGGTCTATGATGAAGTAAAGAACACACAACAAACTTTAAAATGCCTTATTGGCATTAGGTTGATACTAAGGTTGGCTTGTATTTGAAGTAGAAAGTAAGATCAGTCATAGTTTCACAGTATAAAGGAATCCCTTTTGATGTAAATAAGATTTAATTATGTGCACTGTGTCTAGATTTGGATCGAGCAGTCTTGCTATTTTACTGTAGCTTGTCAATGAGTTATATATCTATCTCAAGCTGCGAGAGTTATCCTTTTATCTTTTCCATTAATACCATCTGTTGTATTTGATCGTTTTTCTCTTATCAAGATGTGGCTTCAGAATGTTCTGTTGCCTATTATGTTTGTGCTGAATGTCTCTGAGGAAGTCCATGAAAGATCATGTTATTCAATGTGGCTGGCTGTATAACTGCCTCTTATGGATTTAAGGGATTACCGTGCATGTTATGGATTTAAGGGATTTCCATGCATGTTTACTTTTTATGATTCACAACCATTCATTGTTAACAAGCTAGTAGTGTATCTAGCAGGATATTATCTGCATGGCTCATCAGGTGTTCATTGGATCTACACACATGTACAGCCAGAGCTATGTTTTGTTATTCCTATCGACATGCTAGCACATTGCTACAACCCATTCATGCTCTGTCCTTAGATCCAGCAGCTGTCTCAATATTTTCATGCTTATTGTACCTAGTAGGAGTTGTTTGGCATGTCTTCTTTCGTTGCCTAACGGCTATATTCCCAGTAGATCACTAGACATTGAGAGTAGCCATTGATGCCTACCCTCCATATCAACACATGAATATTGCAGTATTTTTATGAATACAGTGTGGGGGCAGGACTAACCATTGATGAATCAGGATCAAGCATCCTGATACAGTCCGGACACACAGGAAATTAGCATTAAGGGCTGGACGGTTGCTGGCATCTTTTCAGAAGATTTATATTGTGTTGTAGGAATTACAGCTGTTTGGTTTTAAGAACATTCTTCTACAATTATAGCAGGGTTGGATTTGAAGACCATTATTGCCATCACATCTTCTTCTTCATGTTCACCAGCTGTAAACTCTGGTGGAAAGTTCTGGTTGTTCGTCCGCTTCTGGACTGCAGTCCTGTTTCAGAACCCGGGTGTTTCGCATGCATCCGTTTTACAGATTTGACTTATTTGTATGCAGACTGCTGGTTCCTTGCTTCTCAGGCAGATGCACTCTGACTTTAAAGTAAGCTCCCAGTTAGTTGACTCTTACGACATGCTTTTGGGTAGGCAGTGGGTCTGTTCTTGTTTTCCCCGCAACCCACACGGGTGGGGGGGGGGGGGGTGCTCACGCCATCACATGTATCTAATGTGCCTCTTCTCATAGCCTGGCTTGTTAACCAGGTTCTGTTGTTTATCCATTTCTGAATGTTGGTCCTGTTCTGAAGCTTGAGTTTTGCGTGCACATCCATTTTACAAATCTGGCTTATTTGTATTGACTACTGGTTCCTCACCTCTGAGGCGAATGCGCTCAGACTATGAAGATAACACCCCTAATTAGTTGCTTTTTATGACATGCTTGTAACGGAGGAAGTGGCTGGGTTAAAAAAAAAATATCTCCTATAATACGGCCCGGCACCCGCGCAGAGAGCAATATTAACTTATAAAACCTGGTGCAGGGAAGTCGACCCTCTCGACTTAAGGCTTTAACTTAAATGTTTAAGACGTGAATGCACATCATCATCATCCATCTACCTGTTTCAGTTAATGTTTGTTTTCTTTTCAGCAACAGATGCAGGCCCAGCATCTGCCCCATGCCCATGCCCCGCCCATTCCCCTGACACCACACCCTGCGGGGCTTCAGCCCCCAATACCCCCAGTCTCTAGCGGATCCGGCTTTCTGGGTTTCACACAAGGAGTGTTTCCTATACCCCACAGTCTTGGTGCTCTTAAACAGGAAGACAAAGGTAGGAACAAGAGACCAACATTCTGTGTGGAATGATTCTGATGTTCTTTTCAAGGACTGTATATGCATATGCTGAGTCCTTTTTGAGGATTGAGTTTATGTGTTGATTCTTTTTAGGGATTATGCATTTTATAATCTGATGTAAATGTAATGATTTGTAGAAGACAATAAATTTGAATGCTGAGATGTTTGTAAAGGTCTATGGATATACAGGGTGTCCCATCAGTTTTCATATCCATAGGAAGAATAAATATGATTCAATGAAAACCAGTCTTTTTTATTTAGTATGTTCTGCATGGCTACCTTTGTTTTGAAAACACATTTTGATGTGTTTCCTCCAGCGCTGAAGAACAGTTATAAGCACAGCTTGAGTGATATCTTTATTTTTCCAGTGTATGGAAACTTATGGGACACTTTGTACATGTTGTTTTTGTGGGGGAGACACTCTGTACATGTTGATGTTTTTGTGGGTGACTTTCACTGTGTACATGTTGATGTGTTTGTTGGATACTTACACTCTGTACATGTTGGTTTTGTGGGAGACTTACACTCTGTACATGTTGATGTGTTTGTTGGATACTTACACTGTACATGTTGATGTGTTTGTTGGATACTTACACTCTGTACATGTTGGTTTTGTGGGGGACTTACACTTTGTACATGTTGATGTTTTTGTGGGAGACTTACACTCTGTACATGTTGTTGTTTTTGTGGGAGACTTACACTCTGTACATGTTGATGTTTTTGTGGGATGCTTACACTCTGTACATGTTCTTTTTGTGGGAGACGTACACTTTGTACATGTTGATGTTTTTGTGAAACAGTGAATGTATAAATTGATTTTCCTAAGTAACATGCAGACTGATCCCTTCTTCAGAAGAAAACAAATCTGAATAAATAGCATATTAGAATGAAAGGAGGTAAATGTGTGTTAAAATAATCATTATCTCTTTCTGTCGTAAGCACTTGTTAATTCAACCCCTTTTATTTAAAGAAGTTGATCTTCAAAATGACAAATACTTGGGTCTTACAGAGTTCTTTGAATAGAAGTTCCTTAGAAGTCAAGAGGTATTTTTCACTGAAAAAGTTATTGGGGAACTTTGGGTGAGACCTGACCAAAATCAAGTAATTCAGAAGTGCTGTAAAGATGCTGGTGTTACATAGGACACAGTGAGAAAACCTGGTAACAATATAACTAGAATATTATTGCGCTGGAATCCACAGGGTCAAGGAAATAAAGGCAACTCTTCTTCGGGTTCACCAGCTATAAACTCTGGCGGAAAGTTCTTGTTCGTCCACTTCTGAATATTAGTCTTGTTCCAGAAACTGTTTTGTGCACATCTTTTTTTACAGATCTGGATTGTCTGTATGCAGACAGTTGGTTCCTTGGAAATAAAGGCAACTCTTCTTCGGGTTCACCAGCTATAAACTCTGGCGGAAAGTTCTTGTTCGTCCACTTCTGAATATTAGTCTTGTTCCAGAAACTGTTTTGTGCACATCTTTTTTACAGATCTGGATTGTCTGTATGCAGACAGTTGGTTCCTTGCCTCTCAGGCAGATGCACTCCAACTTTGAAGGATGCCCTCAATTAGTTGACTCCTATGACATACTTGTAGTGGAGGCAGTGGTCTACTCTGGTTTCCCCCACAATGGTGCCTCGGAACCCACACAGGGAGAATTTCAATTGTTTGTAAAATATTTTATTATACTGTTGCAAAAACTTTATCATCATCAGTTTCTTCATAATTTTAATTAATTATGATATTTATATATTTTCAGTAAACGATGACAAACATGTGAGTAGAAGTAATTTTCTTTTTATTTGAGTATGCAACACTGCATACTTGATTCTTACCTATTTGATAATTAAGTTTGTTCATTTGTTCCTCTATATTCAATCGTCTACTTTTGTCATTGCTGTTTGATGACAGTGGGCTAAATATAACATCATTATCTTGCTGCAAGAGAGACAAACAAAGTGGTATGTTAATGGTATGTTAAAACTGGCTTAGAGTCTTGCAGCCTGGAAATATGTTTGGTTTTAATGTAAACATAAGGGGGGGGGGGGGGAGATGAGTAATAGACAACAAACAAAATGCTCTTTGAAAAAAATAGATCTGCCAAAAGTTTACCTTATAAAGAAGATCAAAGAAAGGATTGGATTACTGTTTTTATCTAGAGAATGCAGCAAAGAAAAATTGATAAACTTTCAGTGACTCATTACGTAGTCCCATGTGTCCTGTACAATACAAACATTGTGGCGCATGGAAACTAGAAGATTACCACAACATGAATATGGTAAGAGAAGACATAACCAGGAGAAAAGATGCATTTTAATTTTAATTACAGAACTGGAGTCATAAATCTGGTGTCCAATACAGGATTGTTCCACATTCTGCCAAAAATCTACTAATTATGTCTTTAACCCCGTGTGGGTTCTGGGGCCCTATTTTTGGAGGGAAAACACGCCATGCACATTTAAAAATTTGATTTATTAGGGGGTTTGCAAAAATGAGTCGAATAGAAAAGCACATTATTTTTTTAATTCAAAAGTATCCAGATACCCTGAGTTGTTAACCCTTTGGTTGGATATTATGGATATGGCAATCCTTCTGCCTTGATTCCATGATAGATACCATAAATCTGGAAGAAATATGGCTTTTCTGCCTACCCCTGGGCGTGAACCCGGGACCACACAGAGGTTTTCACCCGGCCGCAGCGAAGTCAGCTTTAACCAACTATGCTAGCGAGCCAGAAAGGCACTGATATCACAGCCTAGTTGTAAACCACAACATGTGGACGCAGATGAATTAGAAATAATATGATTATAAATCTGAGGCACCCCTTTGTGACCAGGATCCTTAGGGAGAGCAGTAACTGGTGCTCTCAGGGAAGAAAAGACTGGCAAACAAGCAGTGGTACTAAAGTCTTACCATGAAAGAGACTGTTACCTGTCACCATGAAGTATTTCTGTAGTTAGCAGTGGAAACATTGCAGCCATGCTCCAATCAGGAGTCTGCACAATTTGTTTAAAAGATGATTAAAAGTAATGTCATACTCTGCTAGCTTGCTAACCGTATATCCACTTTCCCCACTTGTTGAGAACAACCTCATTGTATTCTTAGAGATATCAGTTGCCTGTGTGAGAGGTAACAAATTACATTCAAATTGTGCTTGATAGTTCAGGATATTGGCAGTAGATTATTTCTAGAGATGATAGATTCATTGCTGCCATCTGTATGAGATCAGCTCAGTCATGCCATGAATTGGAAACAGAGGATGACTGAATGCAGGGGATATTGATGGAGCATGTGACTGCAGGATTGGGTTAGTCACTGCAACTGTTGCACTGTCATCTCAAGTAATCCATCATATACATCCTGTTCTTGCTTTCATTGCATCGCTGACTAATGATGACTAGGTTTCATGCTTAACAGTCACTATGGTTGAGTGTCACTTCTTTGTCAAAACCATTTAGATATTAACCTGAATGTATTGAAGAAAACAGCACTTAATTTTAAGTGGTTATATATTTCTTTTCATTCAGATTATCTTGAAATGGAATAGGTGTAGCCTAGAAAATAATCTATCACCCCTCCCCAGCAAATATTTAACCATTGTTTTTACCTATTCCATAATTACTTTTAACAAAGCTTCTGTAATTATCACTTAGAACAAGTAGTATTTCATTCTCATGTGTCCTGTGTCGAGTCTGAAGAAGTAACTTGTTTACTTAGGGCAAGTTGGTAAGGTACATCATTCTCTGCATGCCTTATTCCCACGTGATACTAGAGCTTCAGTAATTAGCTGGTTGAACAAGTAGTATTTGGTTCTCATATGTCCTTTGTGGAGTCTAAAGAAGCTGCTTGTATACATAGGTCAAGTTGGTAATATACATAATTTTCTGGTGGGTCAGATGCCTTATTCCCACTTGGCACTATAAATGACTGGTGATTATTTTCCCTAACTATTGAAGGGGACTTCGGCTCTGTGGCTAAGTCGTTGCGAATGCTTTATAATGCCGGGATGCCGGGTTCGATCCTAGCTGCGGGCCATGCGCCTTGAGTTGGTTTCGACAGTGGTATCCAGAAAGAAATGGCCAACTACTGGATGTAAATTTGCCTAGAAAAACCACACAACAGCCAGGGGCTGTTGGGGTTGGTTCTGCAATGTCCTGTAAAGGATACGCAACTAACCTCTATTGAAGGGGACAATATATTTTCTTTGGTCATGTCATGAAAAGGGGCAAACTGAAGTACATCATGATGGTAGGAAGGTTTAAGGGGTAAAAGCGGCAGAGGGACATAGAGAAGATGCTAGACATCATGGCGTTTTGGAACTGACTGAAATCCCACGGGATTCTATTCATCTTTTTTCTTTGCGCTAACTGGCTATAAACGCTGGCCAAAATTCTGGTTGTTTGTCTACCTCTGGGCTTTAGTCTTGTTCCAATACTTCAGTTTTCCATGCACACCCATTTTACAGACCTGATTTTTTTGTACAGACTGTTGGTTCCTCACCTCTCAAGCAGATGCACTCTGACTCTAAAGGAAACCTCTAATTTGTAGCCTTTCACCACATCCTTGTTAGGGAGACAGCGGGACTGTTTTCATCCACAGTGGAGCCGCAAAACCCATACTGGGAGTTGAGGGCATGACACATGGGCTATGGTGACCAGTTCTCTTCCTCATCATCTTTATCCCAAAAGACTGTTACAGTTTTTGGTTTCCCATTTTTTAATTTAAAAAAAAAAATTCCTGCCCCTAAATGATCAGTGCATGTTATGACTTCTATCTTTTCTCCCCCCCCCCCCCCCCCCCCCCCCCCCCCCACACACACACACTTTAAAAAAAAAGTTGTTATTATTAGGGTGTGTATCAGAACAAGTCATTATCTTCCGCCTCAGAACAGGGCACAGCCGATTACGTAACCACATGTACACAAAATTCAAGATAGGCGTATCAGCCATGTGCACCTGTGGAAAGGTGCCCCAGACAGCAGAGCATGTACTCCAGGATTGTACCGAATTTGACACATTAAGGCAAATCTTTTGGCCAGAAAGAACAACAGTGAAACGTAAACTCTATGAACCACTGAATGAATTAACAAGAGTGAAATTTATACAAGAGAAAAAAATTTATGATATAGACAACTGATTTCAGGCGAACGAAAGAAGAAGGGCGTGTATCGAAAAATCCACTCCCAATAATTTTTGAGACAGGCCCTTGCAGCATAAAATGTCATGACCTAGTATAAGTGAAGGTTTCACACTTTACCTCGCTCCCATTTGGCCATGTCTCCGGTCTAAGCTTTGATTTATACCATTAGTTATCAAAACATTTAACCTTCACTTATACTGAAGCACAGTCATTATTTGTTACTAAAACTCAGTTTTTAACCTGCAATCCATCACTGAAACACAGTTTGCCACTGAAAGTCACAATTAGACACTGAAACTTAGTTAGACATCGGAACTAACAGTAACACTGAAACTCACAATTAGACCAAGAAACTCACAATTAGACACTGAAACTTAGACATCGGAACTAACAGTTACACTGAAACTCACAATCAGACCAAGAAACTCACAATTAGACATGTGAACTCACATTTAGACACAGGAACTTACGGTTAGACACTGATGCCATAGAATGAAGTAGATGATAAGTCTATAAGTGAGACAGAGAATAGTAACACTGTACCCTGCCTTCGGTTGGAGAAGATTTACAAGGATTGACAGGAAACTGATGACCTCAGGCCACAGAAATCTTGAGCTGCAGAATCCAGGCAGTGAGGACCAGGTCTGTCCAGTTTTGACCTGAGTTGTGGGCCTATGTTAAGTTAGGACATAAAAGACAAAAGAAGTGTGATTTAAAAAAAATAAATATATATATATATATATATATTTCCTTGCTGAAACTTATTTTAATTCGATTTTCTTCATCTGTTTTGAGTTTTGCCCTGTTAGCATCTAGCTGTTATTTCCTGCTGAAAAATTTATCTTTAACATGTAGACAAGCTCCCTTATTGAGTTTTTATCTAGGAAGCCAGACATCAAATCCACAACCCTAGGATCAGCTGGAAGTATAACATCCTTAATCTTCTTCCTCTTTAATGCCCCCCCCCCCCACTCTTAATTACCGGAGAAACTGATTTGCAAGAGCTTTGAACCACATTCATTAGGCACAGAACCATCACTTCTAACCTGTAATAATCATTGTCTCTAAGCCAGTTTTTAAATAAACCTGGCGTATGTAATATTTTGGAAAGGGGCCAGTGTTGAAGTTAAGCTTGGGGAATCCTTCTGGTTGCAGCCATGCGCCTCTCTTGTTCTGTGTAGGTGGTGTGCATAACAGAGATGTTTAGAATCAGCCAGTGCACCCAGTCTTGCTTCTAATTGTTTCTCAAGTGTTTTTCTGGTGGCAGGTTTTAATACTGAGCAAACAACTGGAAGAGCTGTGTTTGCTGTTTATTCAGAGATCAGTGTTTGCTTTTTTTTCATCATCTTTTATTCTTCGCTGAGCCAGTACTTTTGTTTTTGTTAAGGGCTTACAGAAAACAGGCTTGTAGGGGGAAAAGAATTTAATGAATAAGGAGGAAAAAATTAAACAACTTTTTTTTTATACAAAGAATTAAGTATTGGACGCAGCGCCCCCCGCTCTTTCCACACAGATGGTGTAAGAAAAATATATTTTATTAAGTTTTTCTTTTACTTACCATTTTTTTAATGTATATTGTGGAAAAACGGCAAGTGTTGTAGTTCAGGATGATAGTATCTATACCCCGAATCAGCTTTAGGTACTAATCACAGAATTCGCTTGCATGCGAAATCTCCTGGCTGTCCTATTTTCTAGGGGTGTTATGAGATGCCTCTCTTCACTGTCTAAAGACAGAGTGGCATAAAGTGACTGACGTTCGTTCGACGAAACACACTGTTTCTCAGATGTCGCTGTGCAGCTGTCTTTGCTAGCCTTTTATGTGAATGAGTGGTGTTTCTGGAATGTTTTGTTGTGAGTAGCGCAACCGCCACAGGCGGCTGTGTACGAGGAATAAGTACTGCAGGGGGAAGGGTTGAAGGCACGATTGTTCTAAAGTATCGAATCATAATGTTTTTGTATTTTTACGCTTGTTGGCGGTGGCTGACATCGGTGGTGGATGTGCTTAAAACCTTTAAAACATGTAACACCTGACACCCCTAGAGCATAGGACAACCCGTTGAAACGGCTATAGGAAACTTTGTAGCAGAACTTTACTGCATGCTGTGTAAACGTCATAATTCTGATGATTTGGGTAAGGTAAACAGAGGGTGGACCATGAGACTTGCACTTGTCCAGATCACTTTGTTTGCAAGGGTGTGGGTTGTAGCACTGGTCCCTAGAACAGTGGTTCCCAATTTGTAGTCTGCAGATTTAAGGGGTACTTGATATCATTTACAAATCAACCAGTAACTCCGCCCCCCCCCCCTCACAATTCTCTCTCTCTCTCTCTCTCTCTCTCTCTCTCTCTCTCTCTCTCTCTCTCTCTCTCTCTCTCTCTCTCTCTCTCTCTCTCTCTCTCTCTCTCTCTCTCTCTCTCTCTCTCTCTCTCTCTCTCTCTCTCTCTCTCTCTCCCTCCTTCCTTCCCTCCCCTTCAAATAAATATGACTTTAAAAGTATTGCGTCCATGGCAGACCTTTGAACCTGACTTAAGTTCGCAGGTCGATTCTAATTGAGAACCACTGCTCTGAAACAACTAGCTCTCTTTCCTGTTTCTCTCTATTCCATGAGCCCAAACCCTCCCTCCCTCTGTCCTTCATTCACACAAACATAATCATTTAACAGGGCTGAAATAAGGTCAGAAAGGGAAACTGGTGTTCTCTATGTAGTTGCTCGTTGATTCATGGTGATGATTCTAACATGAAACAGTGACATTAACTAATAGTGGTATTTGTTTTCCTGAATTTTAATTGTACCTTTTCTCTGCCTTTTTTAAAGAAAATAAATCACCCAGGTTCAGCCCCTGCAGATGTAGAATTTGTCCTAACCATTTAGGTCGACCCAGCCTCCTACAGATTGTAGGTAATTGACTGGGAAGGCGAGAAAATGCTAGTGGAAATTAGCCGTCCCCCCTTCATGTCCTAGAGTGGAAACTAGCCGTCCCCCCTTCATGTCCTAGAGTGGAAACTAGCTGTTCCCCCTTCATGTCCTAGAGTGGAAACTAGCCGTCCCCCCTTCATGTCCTAGAGTGGAAACTAGCCGTCCCCCCTTCATGTCCTAGAGTGGAAACTAGCCGTTCCCCCTTCATGTCCTAGAGTGGAAACTAGCCGTCCCCCTTCATGTCCTAGAGTGGAAACTAGCCGTCCCCCCTTCATGTCCTAGAGTGGAAACTAGCCGTCCCCCTTCATGTCCTAGAGTGGAAACTAGCCGTTCCCCCTTCATGTCCTAGAGTGGAAACTAGCCGTTCCCCCTTCATGTCCTAGAGTGGAAACTAGCCGTCCCCCCTTCATGTCCTAGAGTGGAAACTAGCCGTCCCCCCTTCATGTCCTAGAGTGGAAACTAGCCGTCCCCCCTTCAAGTCCTAGAGTGGAAACTAGCCGTCCCCCCTTCATGTCCTAGAGTAAGTGAAGGTCTCAAATTTTACCTCACCGGTGGCAGCTTCCACCGTTTTGATTACTTTTCCTGTGACTGTTTTTTTTTAAACATCATTTGTAAATGTGTTATTAATTTTTCAGAGGCGTTCTGCTTCACCGTTAGACAAATACAGGCATAGAAGTAGAACTCCAGAAGTTAGTGAGCAGTCAAAGAAGAGGAGAGCTGAAGAAAAGGCAGCAGTAAGTGCATTTAGGTTAACTAACTTGCCTCTCTGATGGCCACTTAAATGTTCCTGGTGTCTGTTAACTCATTTTCTGTGCCTCTTCTCACTTTTTTCTTCTCTGCTTGTTCAATTACAGCTACTTAACTTAATTGGTGTCCTAACTAAAGTGATCCAGATGAGCTTAGTTGGTTAAGAAATGAGCTTAAGGAGCTCGTGTTTATAAGTGAAGAAATAAATTAGCTGAACATGGCAATATCTCTGGAACAGAAATTTGTCTGCAGTGGTCTCCCTTTCATATCTGAAGATCTTGGGCAGTGAGAATAGAATAAATGAGATTAGAAAAGAAACAGTTGAAACAAACTGTTGGATTTCAGAAGTGAATACAGAAATATATTTAATGTTGAGTTCTGTTCTAACTCAATAATTACAACTAAATCAAACTGCAAGTGTAAAATAATGAGTGTTAATATATACTGTTATTTCTATGGTTACTACAGTAATTACAAGCACTACTGTTCTTTGCAACTATTACTGCCAATTCTGTTGCTGCTACGATTACTTTCTTTGCTACTACAGATAGTACTATTCCTACTACTATTCGGAGTAAGACATTCTCAGACTAAGGACAGGGCACAACAGTCTTTGTCAATATTTCCTAAAGTTTTTCAGTGTATGAAACACGGGAGGTGTGTCCCTGCAACTTGCCAGCTGAAAATACTGATAGTTTGCTTCAGTACTGTAAGCAGAGAAGTATTCGGGTTTATTCAAACCACTCAGGACAAAAGCTGTACAGTTAAACATGAAGACTTGCATTGCATGATTGCTTTCCTCAAAGCTGCTGATGACCTGATATAAGTTTTCTGCCAGAAGGATCAAAGAAGAGTTGCTGCTGTTCTGCTGGTACTTCCAGTACTAGTGCAGTCATGATCATCATCATCATTGATCAGCAGGTCCTATACAGAACATTGCTGTCGTCACAGCAGGCCAGAGAGTCTCTCTTTCTCTTGCCAGTTCTCCAGCCCTATGTGCTGTCTTTCTCTTGCCAGTTCTCCAGCCCTATGTGCTGTCATAGCCACTTCAGTGTCTTGTATCCACTTTGGCAGAGGTCTGCCTCTGCTTCAATTTCCAGTAACTGTACCCGTCATCAACACTCTCTCCGGGTCACCATGACATTCAACAAGGCCAGAGTACCTCAGCTGTCTGGGCAGGATGCTGTGTATGAGCCAAGTCTCTTTGATGCTCAGGTCGTGACAGCATTTTTCTTCTTGAAAGAATTCTAAGCATTTTTCTTTAACATCAATCCAAATGTTCCAGTATTTTATTTCAGTGAGTGAGTAAGAGTTTGTTACTTTAGCCATACCAATAATGTTGCTAATTATACACTTTTTTTTCTCTTGCTGCTCTTGCTACCACTGTTATGTTACTACTCCTATTTAATATCCTACAACTGTTGCTACTTCTACTGCTGATTATACTAGAGATTCAATACTACAGAGATGATTGTTGTCTCCAGGACAGTGATGGTGAGAAGAGTGATCAAGATCTTGTGGTTGATGTGAGTATACTACATGGATTGTCAAATGTTATCCACTGTGTCATTGTCTTTTGATGTGAGTGGCAGCCAGAAATATCTTGTGTGTCTTGGTTTGGGGGGGTGGTTGTTGTTGTCAAGTTCTTATCTCAGTACTTATGTGTTGACCTTTGCAAAAACAATGGTTACAGATTGATGCATGGATCAAACCAGTTCACTAATTTTTATAGCATACATGGTGTTAACTCCCTTCAACTTAATTATGGTATAATTGAGTTAATTAATTTGTGTTTGTACCCGCACACATGTCTTAATTAATAGTTAACAGTCGTTTAAAATGTTCTGCGTTTTAATTTTTTTGGGTGTTTACCTTGTCTTTTTATTCTCTCTAACATTTTATTACCATTTTCTGTTTTGTGTGTGTGTGTGTGTGCTGATGAAATGTATATTTTTTCACAACTATCTTATTTTTTTAAAGCTGTTTAAGTAAAATTGCATTTAATAGAAATAATATGCCACTGCAAAGAACATTAACCTGACTTTTTGGGATGTCCACATGCCATACATGTTTGTGAATGTTTGAATGAGCAGTTTTCTTACCTTGTTTTGTTTGTTTGTCTGACTAGGATAATACATCTCCTGCTAATGGAGATATGTCTCCAAGAGAGAAGCATGCTCTCAAGGAAGCCATTAAAAAGGAACAAGAGAGGGACAGGATAAGTCCAAGGAGTGATGCCTCCTCACATGCCAGTTCCACATCCTCCAAACCCAAGGATGTGAGTATCTTATTTGTTCAGCATGTCTTCTCTTTCTTGAAGAGCATGATTGTCTACAGTTGAGCTATGGGCTGTTTGTGTTCTATCCAGCTTCACTGTCTTTCCTCTCTTCTGCATTTAGCCTTAAAAGGGCAGTTGACCTGCTGTGTTGTGGTTTTACAGCTATTTCAACAGACCCCTAATACTAGTCACCTTTCACCAGATGTTTATCAGAATGGGTAGTGTGTCTGGTTTTTCTTCTTCTTCTTCCAAAAATAGGGCCCCAAAACCCACACATGGGCATCTCCATTTTGCTCCCTGTTTTCTGTTATTTCCTTCTGCTGTGCTGATAGCACAAGCTATTGGATATTTGTAGCTTTTCCCCAAGTTATGTTGAATTAGATGTCCCAGAGGGCCTGTGTATTCATTCACATCTTTTAAATCAGTGGTTCTCAACCTTCCTGATGCAGCACCCCTTTAATACAGCTCCTTATATTGTGGTAACCCATGGCCATAAATTTTTGTTTGTTGCTACTTCATAACTTCAGTAAATTTAGGTTTCCCGATGGTCTAAAGCGACCCCTGTGAAAGGGTTCGCGACCCACAGGTTGATAACCGCTCTTGTAAGTAGTTAAGATGAAACTCTTTACAGCCTCCCCTCCTTACTTACAAAGGACTGCTGGTTATACCTGGATAGTGTAGTCATTAATTATTAAAACTTCTGCTGTGAAGGTTGAACAGGGTATCTGGGATCTGCCTGGGTCTGACATCCAGGTTGAGATTCTTTGATCTCAGGATTGTATCGTAATCCTTAAGATGGCAACCTACAGGAGACTGATAGATCAATCCATTTTCTTTGCATTTGAAAATAAAATACTGTTTTGCGGCCCTACATTTGAAGACATTACAGTAGCCAACAAACATTAGTAAGGTATTTGAGCATACATTATTTCACAGGATCTGGTGAATTTGTTTATCAGGGACATATTCCCACTGACGTAACCCACCGAGTTGTCACATTTTGATGCACATCAATGAAATTGTCAGGAAATTGATTTTTCTGCTCACATGTTATCTACAGTTAATGATCACCTGCACTTTGTGATTTGTACAACATCAATTTATTGCACACTGTCACTCACTCAACTAGTTTTGCAAATTTTCTGTTGAAAGTATTGATTTTCCCGAAAATTAATAATATAAACGTCTTTTTCAAAAATGGTTCATTCTGTAAAAATCAATTGTCATTAGGCGGTAATAGCTGACGTTTAGTGACCTAGGGCCACTTTGTCAGTCGTTTGTAATCATTTTATCGTGGAATTATAGCCAGGATTAACATAGTGTACTCTGTGTACATCTTTGAGGCATGACATTTAGTTAGCGCTTTTTCCTAATGCCTGTGATTTTTTTCTCTTCCATATTTAAGAAATGTATTTACAGCCCCGTTAACAGTTGAAGAAATTGAGTTGTGACATATAAAAACATTTACTGTGAAAAAAATTGCCTTACTAGTTTTCTGCATACTTTTATGAAGCGAGTGGATATTCTTCAATGGTCTCTGGTCTGTGAGGCCTACTGTGTTTGGCTGCATGTTTTTGTTTCCTGGCTTCCCCAGGATGTCTCACAAGACATAGTGGATATTCCGCTGTGTGATATTCAAGTCTCCACAACCCTAGTGGGTCAAGGATTATGTATGTGTGCAAATAAGCCAGATCTGTAAAGCAAATGTACACACAACACTCAGGTTTTGGGACAAGACTAAAGTCAGGAGATGAATAAACATCCAGAACTTTCAGCCAGAGTTTACAGCTCATGAACATAAAGAGGAAGAATAAGAAACCTCAAGCAGCCAGATGATGGGGCTGGTTTTTAGTATTCTGTAAAGCAGGGCTATTTCGATAGGTGGTCCACGGGCAAAATCTGGTCCGCAGAACCTTGTCTGTTGTAGCAGAACCTTGTCAGTTGTTGAAGAACCTTGTCAGTTGTAGCAGAACCTTGTCAGTTGTAGCAGAACCTTGTCAGTTGTAGCAGAACCTTGTCAGTTGTAGCAGAACCTTGTCTGTTATAGCAGAACATTGTCAGTTGTAGCAGAACCTTGTCAGTTGTAGCAGAACCTTGTCAGTTGTAGCAGAACCTTGTCAGTTGTAGCAGAACCTTGTCAGTTGTAGCAGAACCTTGTCAGTTGTAGCAGAACCTTGTCAGTTATAGCAGAACCTTGTCAGTTGTAGCAGAACCTTGTCAGTTGTAGCAGAACCTTGTCAGTTGTAGCAGAACCTTGTCAGTTGTAGCAGAACCTCGTCAGTTGTAGCAGAACCTCGTCAGTTGTAGCAGAACCTCGTCAGTTGTAGCAGAACCTCGTCAGTTGTAGCAGAACCTCGTCAGTTGTAGCAGAACCTCGTCAGTTGTAGCAGAACCTCGTCTGTTATAGCAGAACATTGTCAGTTATAGCAGAACCTTGTCAGTTGTAGCAGAACCTTGTCAGTTGTAGCAGAACCTTGTCAATTGTAGCAGAACCTTGTCAGTTGTAGCAGAACCTTGTCAGTTGTAGCAGAACCTTGTCAGTTGTAGCAGAACCTTGTCAGTTGTAGCAGAACCTTGTCAGTTGTATGGCAGTAATGATCTTACTATTCCTGGGCTTGGGTCTCAGGCCCATGAAAATCCCCGTTTTCATAATTTTGTCCCCTGAGTAAACTGTTGTAAGGGATATGCAGTTAACTAGAACTCTGTGTTTCTTGTGTACATAATCAGAGGCAGGGGCGATAACTTGTATAAGACGGAATAGCTCTTTGACATTGGTTTTATGTAAGTGTGTGTGTATGGGGTGGAGGCAAAGGCAATTGGGGGGGGGGGTGGGGGGTGGGGGGGGGGGGACAATGAATAGAAACTTCTGTTCTTCATTAGGCTCTTCAAAAAAAGTTAGTTGTGTAACCTTTACAGGACGTTGCAGAAACAACTCCAGCATTTTTTACTGTTGTGGTTTTTCTAAGCAAATTTTAAGCTCAGTAGTTTGCCATTGCCTCTGAATGGTCAGCTCTCGGTACCACTGTGGATACCAGCGCAAGATGTTCTGCTGCTAAATAGCCCGCAGCTGGGATTAAACGCAGCACGGTGTATTAACCCCTCAAATAGTATACCAACCCCTCAGATAGTATACCAACCCCTCAGATAGTGTACCAACCCCTCAGATAGTATATTAACCCCTCAGATAGTATACCAGCCCCTCAGATGGTATACCAACCCCTCAGATAGTGTACCAACCCCTCAGATAGTATACCAACCCCTCAGATAGTATACCAACCCCTCAGATAGTGTACCAACCCCTCAGATAGTATACCAACCCCTCAGATGGTATACCAGCCCCAAACTGGTGCACTGTTACTAGCTCACATTGTGTACCAGCCCCATGATATAAAGAAATAAAATATACAGTTTCCCCTTTACCTTAATATATTTGTCTACCTCCATTACTTGCTCCATTTCCCGCACCAGTACCACAGAGAATATGCAAATTTTCATGCGAACAAACAAGCAGACAGGAAAGATCAAACAAACATAAATAGTTACACTGACATTAGTTTTCTACATTTTTTTTAAATAGGCAAGAATGAATAGAGAAGCTAAGAGATGGGGCACTTTTGTTAACTGTGTTCAAATCAATCTTAGAACAGACTAGCTTGGGCAGCTGCTGCTTCTGTCAGTGAAAGAAACCCTCCCAAGAGGCAGAGAGTGAGCTGGGGTAATACTGATTTGACTGAGTCATGAATACAACTTCAATAAAGTATGCTAGCCCGGAGACAACAGTCAGTCCTGCAGCATCTAAATCTGCAGGAGACCTCTAGCCAAACAGAAGTCAGTCCTGGCCATAAATAAATTACACAGAATTTAGCCTTCTGGGAGACATACTGTTATAAATAGACTTAATTAAATCAGTCAGTTGGGAAAGGTTGGGGGATTGATCAATAATAGATCAGATAAACTAGATAGAAGATAATGATGCTCAGGAAACAAGTACTCACAAAGAATCCTTCATAGAGTACAATAGCTTGGAAAATTTACAGCTCTTTCAGTATCTTTTTTTAAATTAACGTATATGATTGACTTGCGTCAGAGATATGGTTTTTAAGAAATAGGCAAAGAATATGGAGGGATAGGAAAGCAAATGAAACAGTTCTCATGGAGACAGATTAAAGTCATAAACTTATTAAAACAATTAGAGGTAGACTGTTGTTTTTTTTCCCTTCTTTTTTTTTTTAACATGTGAGAAGAAAGGGACTCGAGAACTTGATAACAACTGGTAAGATTGATGGAAAGAGAGCAAGAGGAAGGCAGAGAGATAAATAACTGAATGGCCTGGTAGCATGAATGGGGCAATACAAAAAGCATTGAGCTGATCCGTGATTCTCGTTGATATGAGATGGTGAAACACGGCTGCCTACGCCTACCAGCGGAGCACATGATGATGATGATATAATTATAACCAGACATTTGTGATGAATGGCTATTTATAACGCGATTGGTCTACTTTGCGTCCATGGTGACTACCTGCCCCCTGTGTGCCAAAATAAACACCATATTTGCATGCACACATGAACCTTTAATGAGCATATGATAACCCACTAGGGTGGGTAGTTCTGGGTGTAAGCTAGACTAGAATAATTAGCATATGATTAGTCACTGCACAGTCAGGAGTATTAACATGTCAGGATTCAGGCAATAACAAACATGGTTCTCAAGAAATCAATGTTTCAGGGTCCCCTGAGCAGATCAATCAGTTCCACCTTTTCATGATTTACATGCATCAAATATTGGCTCCCAGGCAGCAGGTGATATGTTGAAAAAAGAACAAGAAAACAAAGAACAAATTATGTAAATAGAATATTCCAGAAATAAATTATGACAGTGGGGGGGGGGGGGGGGGGGTGAAACCGTAAGAGATATTAACTTATTAAAGTTATATTTTTGTTAGCATATTTTGGCAGAGTACCATATGATCTTAAATAAATATATATGTACATACGTACATACAGACAGACATTCTAAAAAAACAGACATACTAAAGATAGACACATACTAAAGACAGACAGACATACTAAATACAGACAGACATACTAAAGACAGACAGACATACTAAAGACAGACATACTAAAGACAGACAGACATACTAAAGATAGACTGACATACTAAAGACAGACAGACATACTAAAGATAGACAGACATACTAAAGATAGACTGACATACTAAAGATAAGACAGACATACTGAAACTGTGTGGGTCCTCACCAATGATTCAAGATGGAACTGTGTGGGTCCTCACCCGGGTTCAAGATGGAACTGTGTGGGTCCTCACCCGGGTTCAAGATGGAACTGTGTGGGTCCTCACCCACGATTCAAGATGGAACTGTGTGGGTCCTCACCTACGGTTCAAGATGGAACTGTGTGGGTCCTCACCTACGGTTCAAGATGGAACTGTGTGGGTCCTCACCCAGGGTTAAAGATGGAACTGTGTGGGTCCTCACCCAGGGTTCAAGATGGAACTGTGTGGGTCCTCACCCATGATTCAAAATGGAACTGTGTGGGTCCTCACCTATGGTTCAAAATGGAACTGTGTGGGTCCTCAAATCCCACTTTAATATAGAGGCTCTTTGACCTCTGTTTATGAATAATTAATGAAAGTTAAACACTTCAAATGTGGAGGAAAACAGGCTAAAATCAGCAGTCAGAGAAATAACATTCCTGGAGTGACAGTAACTGCCAGCACAGGATAATAAAGCAGAATATAAATAGAGTAATGTAAACCTATGAAAAAACTGTATAAAGCCTGGGTTATCTGCTGGAAGTGTGTGTTTTTTAAACTCCCTTGTTGCATAAATACTGGGGAAGGTTATTGCTTCAGATACAGTTACCACAAGGGCCTTTGTATAACAGTGTGAGACTAAGAATGCATGTAGTTCTAGCAAAGTATTGTTGTAGCAGGATTTCGTGGAAAACAAGTAAAGTTCTAGCAGGAGGGACCCCCCCCCCCCCCCTTTTTTTTTCCATATAGTTTTAGCAGCAATCCTTAACCCTAAAAAAAAGTATAGTTCTTGCAGCATTCTGTAACACACACACACACAATGTATTATTCTACACCAGAGCTGAATAACAAAGTACAGTGGTACCTCCCTATACATACTTAGTCTACTCCTGATCCTTGGACGTAAACCAAACAGAATGTATACCAAATAAATGTTCCCATAAGGAAGAATGATAAATCCATCCCTGTGGAAAAATTTTTATTTGTATTGTTTTTGGCATATTATACATTGATAGGGTTGTATAAAATAATTTATATATTGCCTGATTCTGAAATACATAGAAGTAAAAGCAGTCATCGCGCGCCGCGGATCGGAAGGTCGTGGGTTCGCTCCCTGGTGGAGACTGACTTTTCTTCAAAAATGACCTTGTCTCCCAGGTCGACCCAGCCTTGAGTGGGTACCGGGTGCAATCCCGGGAAGTAGAGGCGGCCGGTGTGATGCTGACCACATCACCCATTTTGTGCCGTTGGGCTATAAAAATATAGGTCTAGCCCTATATGCCCTATACGCCTAAAGGCGTGGAAAGGGTCCTTTACTTTTTACTTATTTAAAAGCAGTCATGATACTTATCTATAGACATATAAACTTGGCTTCGTCTCTAGAGAGGCAAACAGGGTGATACTTATCTGTATAGTCACTGACATGTATCTGTGGCTTCATCTCTAGAGAGGTAAACGGGGTGATACTTATCTGTATAATCATTGACATTTCATTTATGCGTGGTTTGGTCTTTAGAGAGGTAAATGAGGTCATACTTATATATATATATATATACACACAAACACACACAAACTTGTATGAGTCAAAATTAGTCATGACACTGCGCGCTATCTTTGTTATGTCTCTAGAGAGATGCCTATGATTATACAGATAAAACCCCGTTCACCTCTCTAAAGACCAAGCCACGTATATATGTCTCTCTAGAGACATAACAAAGATAGCGCGCAGTTTCATGACTAATTTTGACTCATACAAGTTTGTTTTCCAAATAAAGTCGTACATAAAAGTAAAGATTTTTGCGTCTAAACAGGATGTACAAAGCGAATGTAAACTGAGATACCACTATTTAATTTTTGCTGTTTACAAAGCCTCTTGAAAGTTCACACACACACACACACACACATATGTATGTATCTCATTAAAAAAAATAAGAAAAAAATCTCTTGTGTCATTCATGAAAGTTTGTTTTCAATTGCTCACCAATATCATCATGTTGCAGTATCATTAGTAATATTTCTCCAGACAGCATATCCTGTTCAGTCTTTCACTGTCAGAGAAATGGTTTGTTTCCTATCTTACACTTTATGAACCCACATTATCTATTTCTAACCTCTCCATTTCAGATGACTGTCTTGAGTTTTCTGGGTGTTTGATCCTTTGTCCACTGTTTGTGTGATCTCATTTTTTGAATTGGGGCCTGAGATGCAGCGATTGACTTACAACTCTGACTGTTCTGTGCTTTTTGAAGGCGACTTATGTTCATACAGACCTATACTCGAAATGTGACCTGTGTCACTGGTTTATTTATACCTTGGTTGGGGGGGGGGGGGGGGGGGGGGGAGTGTACCATGTGTAATGAAGTACTACTTTATTGCTGTCTACTACTTTATTATTGCGTGTTTCTTTTCTCCTATTCTGATGTTCTTCATACAGCAGTGACTACTGCAAACTTGCTTCATTAGTATAGAGAGGAAGTTATTCCTGACTTCATCATAATGTGACCTTAATGTGAGGTTTCTTTAAGGTAGACTTAGACTTAAGTGGTGCAGTTGCCTACGCAGTAATGAGCTTTCAATAAAAAAATTCACAAACTGCCATGTCTCAATTGGATATATTTCAGTATCTTGCAAATATTGTTTGTTTCACAGAATGAAAAGGCTGGCACTCCAGTTTCTAAGCCAGCCACACCTACGAGTTCAGGCAGCACAACTCCAGGCCCCTCCGCTGGTGTCAAGCATGGTCAGTATTTTATCTCACTCTGTTGTTATTGCCCTTTCCATCAATAACAAATTGCATTTCTAGTCGTGGACTGTTAGTGTTGTCACTTCTGGCAGCTGCTATGTGAATTTATATGGTGACCCTTTTGCTGTGGAATGAGAACTAGGATTACCTATCACCTTCATTTGAAAGGGCAAATGATGGTGACCCCAAAATATGTTTTTTCCGGTTTACAAAGTTAAGAAGTAAGAGGGTGTGGAGCTAATACACTTTGCATAAAAAGACATATAGCATACAGTGCAACATATAGTACGCCTACGTCCATTTCTAGAACTCGAAAGTTCCTGGTCATTTCAGCAAAAATTGTGCTTGCCCTTCTGTTGGTCATTTTGAATCAAAAACAAGTCTCAGATTGTGACTATCAGTTTGATCTGGTCATTAAATGGGCACCAGAAAAATATTTTTTTTTGGGGGGGGGGGGGGGGGGGGGAAGTGCAGGTGGCTGTCATTGAACTCTCCATGTCATTAATGGACCACATCATTCATGGAGATTCTGTTTATAAACATTCAGCACCATTTCCACCTTTCTGACACTGTGCTGTCTTGTTGACTTCATCAACCACAACCAGCCAGATGCCTCATTGGCACGGGGCACTCAGGCTTTCACCAGTAGGTAGGTGGGTGGGTGGGTGCACTACCACCTCCACCAACCCTGTCCACTTATGTTTGCTAAATCATCTGTTTTGGTTGGATAAAGGCCATGCAGTCTGTATTTTGTCCTGTAACCTGTTTTCACATATGGCTCCCCAAGAATGTCTGGGCAGAGAGGGTGTGTGACCTTTGACTCCATTGGTATGCATCACCAGGCAGTGATCTGGTGGGGAAGAAAGTAGAATGTGTTCCTGAGAGCCAGTTATTTGGTGCAGGAATTTGAGATTTTCATGGTCTGTTGCTAATTGTCTCTTCCTGTGCTTTGTGCTGATTTCTCCATCTTCTTCTTTCTGTTGTTCATTTGCATGTTTCTAACCCAGGCCAACAATGTGACTACCCATTCTGCTACATTGTTGGCATCAGTCTTTCCCATAGGGTGATTGTATTATTTGTTCCCTGGCGCCAGTGTCAGATTTGTTTCATCTTAAATTTGTATTTGTTTTGTCTAAACATAATTATATTTAATTGTTATTTTCATGCTGTCCTTTGTGATTGTCTACTTTAAAACTAAAATAAACATATCTACAAGAACCTATTGGCACGCACAGAAACAAGTAGAGAGATATGAGGACACACTAGACAGCAAAGAAATCAAAAGCTATGGTTACCATGCTGACAGTTAAACTTAACTGGTTCCTGTGCGGAACAAAGGGAATACATTGATTGGAAAAACCACTAATGTTGAATTTTGGGAGAAAATTTAAGGAAAAGATGGTGGCATTGCAAAGAGACCTGATAACATTATAGTTAAGAATATCTTTGTGTTGGAACCCACAGGATGAAAGGAGTAAAAACAATTTTTAAAAAATGCATGGAGCAGTGAACTAGAGAGTGAAGTGTAAAAAAAAAATTGAAGAGGATATGGGATGAACTGCATGTGATAGCAGAGGATAGAGGACTTGGCATTAGTTGGTTGAAGGGTAATGCTCCATTAGGGAAGGCAGGGCAGAACTGGTGTGATTGTTTCTGGTGTTGTTCATTTTTCCAGGCTACCCATTTATGCCTCGAAGTGGTACAAACATGAGTTCCTCAGAACAAAGCCCGATCCCCTACACCTCCGGTGGTCCACTTTCCAATGGACTGGCTTGCAGTGCTCTCAACAGCTTTCCTCGGGCCCCTATGGTAAGTTTGATTTGTGTGTGTGTTCAGCATTTGACACGTTTGCAAATCTTGTCTACTCATATTTCATAATCTTTCAGAGTAGCTTGTGTTTTTCTTCTCATTTTTGTCTCTCCTGCTTTGTCACTTTGTTTTAGCTATTGTGTTTATGTTCCTTGTACCTTCTCTTGAGGAGCGACTGGCTGAATGGTTAGAAGGCGGGGCTATCATGTGGGAGACCCGGGTTCCAGTCCTCAGTAAGGTTGTGCATTTTTTTTCTGTTGGAGGGAAAATAAACTTCCTAACCTGCACAGTCTGGGATGACAGCACTAGCCATGTGGCCTGGAATTCTCAAACTCAAAGAACCCTCTGCCAACAACACAGAAGTGGCAACATGAGCAGTTTATCAGTGGCAGTATCTTCTCTTTCCAGTGTTTAAGAGGCATCTGATTGAGTTTAAAATATGTATATTTGATTTGTGTTTCTATTTTGTCATTTTATTATATTTTGAACTGGCTTGTTTGTGATTTAATTCTTTATTTGGTTACAGTACTCATAAGCTTTTTTTTTTAACCACCTAATGTATCTGCCTTTTTAAAAAAAAAAAATGTCTTTGGTCTCATTCTCACTGTACAGTGTCCAGTCTCCTGTTTCTCACAAGATCTGTTTTTTCCTACACATTTTGGCTGCCATTTAAAAAAAAAAAAAAGAGAGACATTTTGGCAAGTTTTTTTCTGTTTCTTTTTCACATCTCCTTTCCAGTGAATTGATTCTCCTCTCCTGCAGCGTATTACAGCATGCTTGACAGTACCAGCCAGTGTCTGAATGCAGTAACAATTTATTTTACATGAGCTAGGCTCCCTTTTCTAATCCGACTGCATTAATTATGCAGACTTAATCTTTATTGCTAATTCATTGAACCATTGCTGCCTCCTCAGGTGGGGTTTGAAGCACATGTCTCCCACAATGCCATGAGGCCAACACTCAACAGCATTTCTGGAGGGAAACCGTAAGTGTCCATTATTGTCAGCCTGCTCATGTATTTTGTATTGATTGAAGTTGTGCTGGCAGAAATAATGAGATAGAGGGTGAAATTGGGCGTGGGGTGAAAATTCCAGTCATTTTATATTCCAGCCATGAATTGTATGATGAAGGCATCAGTTAAAAGACTTTTTTTTTTCCAAGTGTGAGGGAAAAGGTGCAATTATATTTTATACATGAGATCACCATTAAATACTTACTGTATAAAGAGGAGAGTGCTGTTGTATTTTTTACGCAAGAGCATTGTTGAACACTTCTAGTGTAAAGTGTGCAGCTGTATTTTATACATGAGCACTGTTGAACACATCTAGTGTGACCTGTGCAGTTGTATTTTATTGACAAAATCACTGTTGGACAGTTTAGTATGAGGGAAATAATAGTTGTATTTTATACACAAGAACACTGTTGGACACTTGTAGCTAGAGGGAAAGTGTACAGTTGTATTTTATATACACAAGCATTGTTGAACACTTATAATGTGAGAGGGAGTGTGCAGTTGTATTTTATATTCGCAAGAGCACTATTATACTTATAATTTGAGTGGAAGTGTACAGTTGTATTTTTATATACAAAAGTGAGGTGAACTGTTCTTTTTATTTTCTTTATTTTATTTCTCTGTACAGTTACTTTAATGACTTGCAATTGAGGCCATATGTTGTTTGTTTCCAGAGCGTATTCATTCCATGTCAGCGGAGATGGTCAGATGCAGCCTGTTCCATTTCCACCGGACGCCCTGATTGGTCCTGGCATTCCCAGACACGCACGCCAGATAAACACACTAAATCATGGCGAAGTTGTGTGTGCTGTTACTGTTAGTAATCCAACCAGGCATGTTTATACTGGCGGAAAGGTAAGCACTAGTTTTGAATCTGGGTGCAGTGGAATTATGATTGTGCAGGTATTAAAAAAAAAAAAAAATTATAATCTTCATACTTTTGAGTTTTTATTGATAAGTATTTTGTGCTAAATTTTATTTATCCTCACTATTTTAATTCCAACCCTAATGTATATGCCATAGGGCAATCTTTATTTTTAGAATGGTTTTCATGACTTGAGTTCTGCCTTGAAAGGGTAATAGGAAATTTTTTAGGAAGTAAAGGCAGTCAGCATGATTTTAACTATATATCCCCTGTGAAGTGCCACTGCATTTAAAGATATATCACCATAGCACCATTTCCTCAGGATCTTATCACATAAAACGTGTCATTTACTACCCTACAGATGGGGGGGGGGGGGGGGGGTGACAACAAAGCTATCCTGACACATGGGAATGCTTGGCACTTGGCCAGGGGTCCTGTGAGCATAGGGGTGACAACAAAGCTATCCTGACACGTGGGAATGCTTGGCACTTGGCCAGGGGTCCTGTGAGCATAGGGGTGACAACAAAGCTATCCTGACACGTGGGAATGCTTGGCACTTGGCCAGGGGTCCTGTGAGCATAGGGGTGACAACAAAGCTATCCTGACACGTGGGAATGCTTGGCACTTGGCCAGGGGTCCTGTGAGCATAGGGGTGACAACAAAGCTATCCTGACACGTGGGAATGCTTGGCACTTGGCCAGGGGTCCTGTGAGCATAGGGGTGACAACAAAGCTATCCTGACACGTGGGAATGCTTGGCACTTGGCCAGGGGTCCTGTGAGCATAGGGGTGACAACAAAGCTATCCTGACACGTGGGAATGCTTGGCACTTGGCCAGGGGTCCTGTGAGCATAGGGGTGACAACAAAGCTATCCTGACACGTGGGAATGCTTGGCACTTGCCCCAGGGTACTATAGGAATAGGAGCCCAATGCTGATTTGTGTATGCCATGTGACTTAGCCATAAATACAAATGTCATTCCTGTTGTCGTACGGGCTGCAGCACCTGGTTTGTCCAGAGGCCCATACTACTGTTAAGATGGCTCTTGGTGGAGACAAATATTATATACATTTGTTCTCTTTTTCTATATTGCAGGGTTGTGTTAAAGTTTGGGATATCAGTCAACCTGGCAACAAGAGTCCACCTATCTCCCAGCTGGATTGCCTGGTAGGTTTTATGTTTCTGTGTTCAATGTATGAAAGATTTAGATTAGTGCTGAATAACTACTATAACTTCTAATGTTAGTTTTCAAAACTCATTCCTGGATAGCCATGGTGGTGCAAGGATTGAACATCATGGCTTTTCTTCTAGGACAAAATGTGTCAGTACTCATCAAAAAGTGTCTTCAAAAGTGCCAGTACTCATCAAAAAGTGTCTTCAAAAGTGCCAGTACTCATCAAAAAGTGTCTTCAAAAGTGCCAGTACTCACAACAGAGGACCCATTACAGTAGTGCTGAAACAGTTATGCCTAAAAAGGTGCCAGTACTGAATACTATTGTGAACAAATCTCAGGGGTCTGTGATTTCACTTAGTTATTTATAAAAACCTAAACTTTAGAATGCAATCTTTTCTTGTGATTGTAATGTTTATAAATTATACATTCTTGAGTATGACTTTATGGGTCCATGGTGAACTTTGAAAATAAGACATGTCTGCAGGTTTCAGTCCGTTTGAGAGAATCACTGTCCCAGAATATTGTACCAGTAAATTGAGCCATGGGCTGTCCCTGACTTTTTCTCCTAATTGAAACTCTGGGTTATATATTTTTCAGCAACGAGACAACTACATTAGGTCCATAAAACTTCTTCAAGATGGCAGAACTCTGATTGTTGGCGGTGAGGCAAGCACACTATCTATATGGGACTTGGCTTCTGTGAGTATTTTACTTGAACTGTTATTTTTTGGCTTCTGTGAGTATTTTACTTGAACTGTTATTTTCTGAATATTTTGTCATTGAAATTGGTTGGTATTTTGTGTATTTGTTTTTTGTATTTTCTTCTTCTGCTATTTAACCATCAGTGGAACAAAGGCTGTGACTCAGCTCAAGCAAAAAGAATCGTATCCTTTGCTGTTTTGTGCCCATTTTCTCTTCTTATTGTTTTCATCTCTAATTATTTTGTGCATGCTTTCCTAGGTCACCCTGAGTTTTCTCTTTGTCCGATCCCACAATACAGCTCCCTATCTGAAAATGTGGCCCATAACCATTGCAGATGACTCCTTCAAACTTATTGTTTAATATTATTCTTCATGTATACATTTTGCATTTATCACAATCACTTTGTTTTCTTTATATGTTTATTAATTGTTTTTTTATTTCATCTTCAAGTATTTCATTTTTCCTGTCATAATAAGTTGGTTTGTAGCAGTATTACACTTCTTTATTCCCTTTTTTATTCCTCACATATAACAGTATTATGTTTTTCTTGTGCGTTTTTGTTTGCAGCCAACTCCACGAATTAAAGCAGAGTTAAATTCAACTGCTCCAGCTTGTTATGCCCTGGCCATCAGTCCAGATGCCAAGGTATGTTTCAGCTGCTGCAGTGATGGCCACATTGCAGTTTGGGATCTCCACAACCAGACACTAGTCAGGTAATCATTGTCTGTGTGTTCACATTTGTTGTGCAGAGTTCATGTGGACTTGTAGGTGTGGACTGATAGGTGTTCAAAGTTAACATGGGCTGATAGGTGTTCAGAATTAATGTGGACTGATGTTCAGAGTTAAATGTGGACAGATAAGTGTTCACAGTTAACGTGAACTTATAGATGTTCAAAGTTAATGTAGACTGATATTTGTTCAAAAGAAATATAAGCAGGTACCAGATTCGGAATATCTATTGTCTTATGAATACTCCAGTATCTCTATCTATATCCTCTTCATGTCACTGTTGACACACAAGGCATTCATAAGTGATCTCCATTGCTGCCGGTCTGTTGCTTTCCTGCCCATGGTATCCCTTGATTTCCCATTCTGTTGTCCTTCTCCAGGTTTCCTTAGGTCATCCACATCTCCTGTTCTCCGGAGACCTGTTTTTGCCAGAGTGTCACAAGGCATTCTGCAAACATTTTCAAGCCATCTCCATCATCTTCCTTTGATAACATTTGCCAGTGATGTATATTGTATATTCTGTTTTCCTCCTCAGTTCATTTGTGATCTTGTTTGGCCAAAATATTTGTAGAGCTCTCCTTATGAGGCACCAGTAAAACATTTTTCAAACTACAAACATTGATTTCCTCAAGTCTGCAAAGGAAAGAAGTTAAATGGTATGCAGACCAGAGAAAACATAGCAAAAATAAAGACAGACGTATCCATGCAGACATGTTGAATTAGAAAGACAAGAATTATATCTATAAAAGGAATAATTAGGAAGTAAAAGAAAGTACTTATTCATCACGTTCAACAGCTGTAAACTTTGTTGGAAAGTTCTGGTTGTTTGTGCAACTCTGTAAAAAACTATACTATTTTTTCAGAATATGAGTGTCATGTGCACATCCAGTTTACACATCTGACATGTTTGTCCGCCTCCCAAGCAGATGCACTCCGACTTTGAAAAAAAGCTCCTCCAAATAGTTGACCCTTGCAACATGCTTGTTGGAGAGACAGAGGGACTGTTTTTTTGCCTGCACTGTGGAGTAGTAGAACTCACAAGGGGAACAAATGGAGTTTGATAATATTGGTTATGTTAATATAAAAAAAATAAATTTAGAGAGGGGAATAGATCGAAGAAGGCTTTCTGTTTTACAGTGTGAAAGGGAGAAAATTGAGAAAAATTCAGTTTCAACATTAGGAGTAAATATAGAAAAGATTGCTATTTCAGCAGTAGAAGAAGTAACTAGAGAAAAGGTTTCTGTCTCGGCAGTGGAAGGAGTAGAGAAAAGATTGCTATTTCAACAGTGGAAGGAGTAGAGAAAAGATTTCCATGTTAGCAGTGGAAGGAGTAAATAGATAAAAGATTGCTATTTCCGCAGTAGAAGGAGCAAATAGAGACAAGATTGCCATTTCAGCAATAGAATGAGTAAAAAGAGACAAGACTGCTATTTCAGCAAAAGAAAATAGATAAAAGACTGCTATTTCAGCAGTGGCAGGAGTAAATAGAGACAAATTGCTATTTCAGCAATGGAATGAGTAAATAGACACAAGATTGCTATTTCAGCAATAGAAGGAGTAAATAGAACCAAGATTGCTATTTCAGCAATAGAAGGAGTAAATAGAAACAAGATTGCTATTTTAGCAATAGAAGGAGAAAATATATAAAAGGTTGCGATTTCAACAATAGAAGGAGTAAATAGATAAGGTTGTTATTTGAGCAGTGGAAGGAGTAAATAGAGACAAAATTGCTGTTTCAACAATTGAAGGAGTAAATAGTGACAAGATTGCTATTTCAGCCGAAGAATGAGTAAATAGAGAAGATTGCAATTTCAGCAATAGAATGAGTGAATAGAGACAAGATTGTAAAATAGCAATCGCGTCTTTATTTACTCATTCTATTGCTAAAATTGCTGAGACTAGATTGCTGTTTCAGAGAGGTAACAAACAGAAGAAGGCTTGCTATTTCACCTTTAAGCTTAAATTGTGATCAGGTGATTTATTTCTGCTTGCAGACAGTTCCAAGGACACACAGATGGCGCCAGCTGTATTGACATCTCTCCTGATGGCACAAAACTGTGGACAGGTGGTCTAGACAACACAGTCCGGTCCTGGGATCTCAGAGAAGTAAGCAGCCCTCATGTCTTGTTACTGAGCCCGCAGGTTGCTACCCTCAGAGCCGCTTTGTTGTACTTGTTTCTATGCGTTCTTTTTTGTAAATGTAGGGTTGTTTGTGTTGCATGTTCTAGGCTTTTCAGCTGCAACATTCATTTGTTGTTTGTAATTTGGAAAATATAAAGCTGACTTCTTGTTTGGTTTGATAACTTTGTAATGTTTGTTTCATAAAAATCTTATGGGCACTGTTGAATTAAGGGCACTGTAAATAAGTACTGAAGCAAAAGAATACTTTTAAATGCTCATTAATCATGCTGGTTAGTTAACATTACTTGAAATTGCAGTATTCTACTACTGCATTGTCTGTTTGGATTCACATAATTTGTGGATAATTGATATTCTTGTCCATTTTGCAGGGACGGCAGTTGCAGCAACATGACTTTTCGTCCCAGATTTTTTCATTGGGGTATTGTCCAAAAGGAGAGTGGTTAGCTGTTGGGTAAGTCATGTTTGTTTCCTTTTTATTTTTATTAGAATTAGTTGTTTTGTTAAAATAGTTTTTCTCTCTTTTTTCTTCCAAATCTAAGGTTTTTATTAGTTTGACGGAGGGCTTGAAACACCCTGGCAGTGTCATAACGAATGCATTCTTCTGCATTTGCTCTTAAAAGCAGTTGGCATGTTGTATAGTGGTTTACAACTAGCTCTGATATCTGCGTCTTCAACCTAGCGCATTAAATTGCAACAGTCTTTATTAATTGTTTTTTATGTCATGATTATTAGCTTACCGTGGTTCTGTTATTTTTGGCCCCACAGTGGAAGCCTGGAACCCACATGAAGAGAATGTATAGAGAGTCGAGAATTCATACAAAGGATAGCAGTTTAAAAGTGAAATAAGCATTTTGTTTAATAATATTCATGTATATAATTGTTGCAGTAATTTATTTTTGTGAATGTTTTTTTTTTTTATCAGCATGGAGAGCAGTAATGTTGAGGTGCTGCACCATTCCAAGCCAGACAAGTACCAGCTCCACCTGCACGAGAGCTGCGTCCTGTCCCTCAAGTTTGCCTACTGCGGCGAGTGGTTCATCAGCACTGGCAAGGACAACCTGCTCAATGCTTGGCGCACTCCATATGGTGCCAGCATATTCCAGGTAATTTGTGGCAGTATTGTACTACTGTTACACACACTGCAGCGAAACCTGATTGTACTGTTGCACACACTGCAGCGAAACCTGATTGTACTGTTACACACACTGCAGCGAAACCTGATTGTACTGTTGCACATGCTGCAGCGAAACCTGTCTACTCATTGAATCTCTCTCTCATTCTGTCTGTTTCTTGTCTCTGTCTCAGACATATCTTTTTTTTTTCCTCTTTTTTTTTTTTTTTAACTTGTACAACTTATTATCTTTTATCGGTTGTTTAGTGTGTATGTGGTCATCTGTTCTAATTATATTTATGTCACAAATCTCTGTTTAAAAAAAAAACATATTCATTATTTGTTGGTTTTATTTCCATCACTAAACATGTAGATCAGCTCCTGCTTCTTTTTTTTTCCTGAAAATAAAAAATTACAGAAAACCGTGACAGCATGTTTTCATGTGGCTGTTTAAATGTTATTCATGGCAGCTGCTGTTATGTTTAAATGTTATTCATGTGTTTAGTCTCCATGGCTGCTGCTGTTTTGTTTAAATGTTATTCATGTGTTTAGTCTCCATGGCTGCTGCTGTTTTGTTTAAATGTTATTCATGTGTTTAGTCTCCATGGCTGCTGCTGTTTTGTTTAAATGTTATTCATGTGTTTAGTCTCCATGGCTGCTGCTGTTTTGTTTAAATGTTATTCATGTGTTTAGTCTCCATGGCTGCTGCTGTTTTGTTTAAATGTTATTCATATGTTAGTCTCCATGGCAGCTGCTGTTATGTTTAAATGTTATTCATGTGTTTAGTCTCCATGGCTGCAGCTGTTATGTTTAAATGTTATTCATATGTTAGTCTCCATGGCTGCTGCTGTTATGTTTAAATGTTATTAATGTGTTTAGTCTCCATGGCTGCTGTTGTTATGTTAAACTTATATTATTTGTATGTATCCGCAGTCCAAGGAACCTTCATCTGTCCTGAGTTGTGATATTTCTGCTGATGACAAGTATATTGTCACTGGATCCGGAGACAAGAAAGCCACTGTCTACGAAGTTATCTTTTGAAACTACAATGGATACAATGGTTCTGCAGCAGCCACATTAGGCAAGGTGACGTGGACCTTCACAGGCAGTTATAAATAGGGCTTTATGGAGTTGATAAATGGTGCATAATTCTTTTGAAGCAGAAAGTATTTCTTGTTCTGGAGACGCAGTTCAGGTGTGTACAGCTAATGAGTATATTTGGAATGGCGTGTTATAGATCAACACTTTAGAACACAAAGTGAAGGAAAGACATTTTGTGAGCACTGGATTTTCTTGCGGAAAAGTATATGTTGGTGTTGGTGCATTTCTTGTATCTGGCTGTTTGTTTCTTTGCTTTAATGGATGTAGCTTCCAACAGACTAGACCAGTTGGAAATGTGAATGACCTGCAGTGTATTCAAATTATGAAAGCTATGTTTTCGTAAAAATGGATTAAACTTTGCATTTCATTCTTGGATTAAACCAGATTATTCATCTATGGATTATATAACACGAAGGATGGATAATGAGCAAGGAAGCTTTGCAGTACGGGTTGCAGCAAGTGTCCACATGATGCCTAATGACAAATAGGGTCACAGATGGAGGTATGGTGTTGTGTTTGACGGCAGTTTCTGACTGGTTCGTCGACAGACTTGCTTCAGGATCCCAACAAGGCTTGGCTGAGCCTTGAGCACCATTTGTTGTTATCTCTAGCTGTGCACTTTGTGTGTGTCCCAAGCTTGGCTTCTATCACCAGTGTCACGGCACAGGAGTTGTCCATGACTGCTTCTTGGTTTCCTGATGGCTGCTGACAGCTGTGTGACATCATGTACGTGGATGCAGTGGGGGACATTTAAGCTTGATGGCATATCGACATAATTTGTTTTCATGTTGTGAATGTGTTTATCATAAAGCCAGGGATTGACATGGTGTAGATTTGCCTACATTATGTGTACATATGCGACCCATGCTTTTTTGGGGACATAATATTATGACTTGTTTATATCCTTTTCACGTCTGAAAATTACAGAAATGATGTCTATGAATATATGTGCCTGCTTATGATTTCACTTCATGCACGTGCATTGTCCCCAAATATGTTGGTGAGCGGAGAAGGTGTAAGTATGTTTTTTTTTTTTAAAATACATTATATTCACAACATGCATTCACAGAGAAATTATTTGTGCTGCTTTTATAACAAAGTTTGTGAAGTGACGGTTGTTCATGCATTCTCAATGGGTAGCTGTTTGTGCATCATCAGTGAGTAACTGTTTATTCATTGACATTGGGTAGCTATTTATAGTTTACCCATTGTCAATGGGTAGCTGTTTATAGTTTATCCATTGTCAGCGGGTAGCTGTTTATAGTTTATCCATTGTTAATGGGTAGCTGTTTAAAGTTTATCCATTGTCAGCGGGTAGCTGTTTACAGTTTATCTATTGTCAATGGGTAGCTGTTTACAGTTTATCCATTGTCAGCGGGTAGCTATTTATAGTTTATCCATTGTCATTGGGTAGCTGTTTATAGTTTATCCATTGTCAGCGGGTAGCTGTTTACAGTTTACCCATTGTCAGCGGGTGGCTGTTTACAATTTACCCATTGTCATTGGTGAGCTCTTTATAGTTTATCCATTGTCAATGGGTAACTGTTATAGTTTATCTATTGTCAATGGGTAGCTGTTTATAGTTTATCTATTGTCAATGGGTAGCTGTTTATAGTTTATCCATTGTCAGCGGGTAGCTGTTTATAGTTTATCCATTGTTAATGGGTAGCTGTTTATAGTTAATCCATTGTCAATGGGTAACTGTTTATAGTTTATCCATTGTCAATGGGTAGCTGTTTATAGTTTATCCATTGTCAGCGGGTAGCTGTTTATAGTTTATCCTTTGTCAATGGGTAGCTGTTTACAGTTTATCCGTTGTCAGTGGGTAGCTGTTTAAAGTGTGTCCATTGTCAGTGGGTTGCTGTTTATAGTTTGTCATTTGGTAGTTGTAAATAGTATCACTTGTCAATGTTTAGAGAAAGAAGTTGTGACATGTCTGTGTTCAGTGATACAATCCTCATCTAAACAGAACTGTTTATCCTGGCTGCCTAAACTGAACTGTTTATCCTGGCTGCCTAAACTGAACTGTTTATCATGGCTGTTTATATATTATAAAATAGGGTTATTTGGTTGTTGTGAATGTGTACGGCAGATTTTTTAGTTGATGATGATTACTCAATTGTTTAATAATAAACCCTATCATTATTGTACATGTCTGTGTGCGGGAACTTTTACTTGTGAGCAGTATCTGGCCATATGTATGATCTGCCTGCTTGACCTTCCTCTTCCCTAATATTTTGAGGTTGTGCTCGTCTTGTGTTTGGTGATGAAAAGTTTTGGCCATCAAGTATCTACAACTAACTTCACCAGTTTTCCCCACAATGATAGTGATTTCCACATTACATCCAGTGTTAGAAATAGTACATTGAGGATGGTCAGTAGTTCATATATGTTGCTGTACTCATAGTGTGTGTGAGTGTTTGAATATTTCTGTCACAGATTATTGCCTTTGATTTCTTGAATTATAAATAAATAACTAATGACCTCTAAAAATGCTCTGCAAGCAGTCTCCATCCTGCCTGGTTTGGTTCCACTTGTGATTACATGAAAGATATCAAGGATTAGGTGTATACACAACATCATTCCATTTGATTCATGTAAATATGCGTGTTCACAGGTAATTGTCGTCTTTGTCTTTTTAAAGAATAAAAAATAATATTTTATTCTTTGTTCTATGTTACATATGAAAGACTTTAAGCTAGTAGACTATCTCACTGTTTGCTGTTCTCTTGGTTTTATCATTTACTATATCCTGCCACTGTTGCCTAGGAAGGGGAGAAAACTTACATTCTTCAAGATATTAATGCTTAAAAGGGGACTGGGGGGGGGGGGGGGGGGGGGGGGGGGCTGACATATAGGCAGTATAGTTTTGAAAACTGAAATACTTCAGCCATATTAAATGCAATAATAGTCTGGAGAGAAAAGTAATGGAGGGTATTGTTCCTGGGAGAAGAGGCAAGGATCAACCAGCACGAGGTGGAGGCAGTATGTGAAGAACATTCTGAGCATGAGAGTTCACACACAGTGGAACAGTTGGCAGGACGCAGAGTGGCTTTCTTATATGTCTTGAGGAGAGAGACGTTCGGCAAAGGACCTGCTTCTTATTCTTTTGCCTTTCAGCCCCTAATGGAGCATAAGGACTCAGCCAATTCATGCCAGGTGGTTCTAGCCTTTGCTATAGCATGCTGCCCGCCCATTATCCTCCCTGTAATTCTAATACAGTCTAATGGCTCCCTTCTCCAAGTTTTTTTTGGGGGGGGGGGGGGGGCTGCCTTTCTCCATTTCTGTGCCCAAATGTGTTCAGTACAAAGATATTCATTTTAGTTTTATTCTCAGATCTTCTCAACCTGCGTCCTGTCCAATGCCATCGTCTTTTCTTCATCTCGCTGTCCACTGAAACTTGTTTAATTCTCTCCCAGAGTTCAATATCAGTGATTGTATCACACCATTTAGTTTCCTCTATTCTACGCACACACCATTTAATGAATGTTTTTAGTTTTTAAGTAATGGTTTCACTTGTTCTCCCTGTTTCCGCTTCTGTTTCTAGCAGTACTGATTTTATGTTAGTTATAAATTTTAAGTTAAATATCAGCGTTAATTTCTTTTGACCTCTACAAATTTCCCCCTGCTATGAAAGCTTCACCTGCCTTTTATATTTGTATTTTAAAATCTCTATCATTTCCCCGTCTTTATGTAAATTACTGCCTAAATAGGTTTATCACTCCACGTCTTGTAGTGAGATACCATTATTTCTATAAGCTACGTGATGATAATATGCTGATTCCATTGCCCTTCTCTTGGTTTTTATAATTTGCAATATCCTGACACTTGCCCTGCTCTTGGTTTTATCAATTGCTATACCCTGACACTATTGCCCTGCTTTTCGTTTTATCATTTTCTTTACCCTGAGAGTGTTGCCCTGCTCTTGGTTTTATCATTTGATACCTCCTAACAGTGTTGCCCTACTGGTGGTTTCATCAGTTACTATATCCTGACACTGCAGCTCCTATTTTGGTTTTATCAGTTACTATATCCTGACACTACAGCTCTTATTTTGGTTTTATCAGTTACTATATCCGACACTTATTTTAATGACTTTATCATTTGCTATAATTATAATGCTAACACATCCTTGTAATAATTTTATCACTTGCTATATCCTGTGACACTGATGCCCTTTTAATGGCTTTATTATTTCATATACTCCTAACACTGATGTCCTTTTAATGGCTTTATCCTGAGAATGTTGCCTATCTTTTAATTCCATCGGCTGGTGCATCATCTCATTTAAGTTATGTTTAAAGAAATATTTTGTGTAATTGCCTAATAGTTTTGTAGATTGAGTGTTGAGGTGAGGTCATCGCTATCTTGAACTGCTTACAGCACAGCCTTCATGGCAGAGTGGAAATTGCCATCATTTGTCCTATTTGTTTGCCTTCTTATCAGCTCAGAAAATGTTATGAGGGAGCTCAAGTGTGGGAGCATTTATCATTGTCCCTTTTGTTGATGAAGTGGTATTCTGAAGATTGCTGTGTGTTTGTCAAGCAATTGCCCGGCTTCTGCTTGAGATCCGGCTGTATAGACAAAAGCCTGGTTTGAGAGTTCTGTTGTCACTACAGGATTAATCCACTGTGGCTCTTCTGTATGTAGTGCATGTCGTCCAGTCTAAAACCACGAGGCAGACAGGATGTAGTTTCAACCAGTGTAACAAATTTTTCATAGTTTGAATCATTAACAGTTTCTCATAGCTACAACGTGAGAGATTTTTTAACATATCTTTCATCTTTCAAGGGTTGAGTTTTGGTTTGAGTTAAGTATCTGTTTATTGAGGCAGTCTCTGATGAACTGATAAGACGTAACTCAAGGGCGCTCTCTCTCTCTCTCTCTCTCTCTCTCTCTCTCTCTCTCTCTCTCTCTCTCTCTTTCTTCTCTCTCTCTCT